ACATTGGTGGTCCTCTGACCCCTCCGCTGCATCTCTTTGATTGGGAAGGGACCATCACCATTAGCCAGCCTATTGCTATTGCAAGGAGCCTGCCCAATTGATTCCTCGCCCACCACAGGCCCTTCACACGTTGCGCGCCTTCGACCACATTCTAATCCCCAAGCCTTGGACTTGTCAACATGGCTGCTGCTGTCGCCAGATATCCTTCTATGCCCGGTCGTTCTTCAACACCTCCACCGCACCTGTCGCTCAACACCTCTTCTCGTGGTACGCCTACTGCCATTCCCAACAAGCACATCCCGGAGTGCTCTCCTGGTGGGCTCCCTGCAACTCCCCCAGCATCGCCCCCGCGCCAGGACAGTCTTATTGAAACCTCGTCAATCACATACCCGCCAGATGCATACTGTTCACTCTACTCCGATGACCCGCCCGTGTACACTATCACCGCGGATCGCATGGCGGAGGCCCTAGAGCACATTGCAACGCAGCCGCTTCCGAACCCTGACCAAGTCTTTCCGTGGATGCATGGTCTTCACTCCGAGAATCAGATACAGCTTGCTTTCTTCTCATCTCGTCGCAGAAGCGGTCGGAAAGTTCCTAGATGCATTCGCAGCATTACTGTCGTGAAGACCGGCGGGAACCTGTCAGCTTCCAAGCTCAAGGGCGCAATTGCACCGGATGAGCTACTGGAATCGGTGTCTTCTGACACGCCCAGGTTCATTGAATGTGACCCCAAGGATGGCTTTTCCGTGCGCAACTTCCAGATCCAGGCCTGCAAACTGGCTATGGTGTCTGACATCATAGTGTATGGCGACCACAAAACCAAACCGCAAGACACGATTGCGCTTGCTCAGAAGATTTCCAGGGCGCAGAGGCAGTATGAAGCAAGGAACGGATTTCCGCATTGCCTGTTCAACACCTTCATGCTCTCAGGTACGATCAGTGACTGCTGTAAAGTGTACAAAACTAATAAGCTCAGATCCCTTTGCATCCATGCAGGAGAAGTACCCAAAGCTGGTTGCTATCAATTCTACGGGCGATATGACAGGAGAGATTGCCGATTTCTGTAAGTTGGTATGCGACAGGAGATGACTCACCGCTGACATGAACATACAGTCTATTGGGAACGATACGAGATGAGTGCGATGTCTAAAGCAACTGAGATCAGCAACAACGTTTTCCTGGGACCAACGCCTGACCAGGCACTGCATCCGGATTGCGTGGGCGAAGAAGGCTACGATATGCTGATTGAAGCGACCGATCTTGCGCATGTACCCGAATCGCGCTCGCTCCGAGCTCTCCGCATGGGTCTGGAACGAGTTCACCGCAAGTCTACTCTGCACATGGAATTTCCCTCATCCGGAAGCATCATGCCTCCTACATGGGCGCATGGCGAAGTTGACGGCCTGATGGAAATGTGCAAATGGATGTACGAGCTGGCGAACCCACAAGAGGTCCGGCGGTCGAAGCGAAGACGGGAAGAAGAAGACGAAGCTATAGAGATGGACGACATTGCTGCGCCACGCAAGTTTTTGATACACTGCACAGATGGCTATACCGAGACGACACTTCTGGCCTTGGCTTACTTCATGTATGCAGAAGGTCTACCTGTTCACGATGCTTGGATTCAAATGCATCGCGACAAAGGCCGCAACTTCTTCGCATACCCTTCAGATGTTGCTCTTCTAACAGCGATTCAACCTCGAATCCTTCAAGACTCTCCTCGCTTCAACCAGAGTGTTCTGAATCTTTCCGAACCACGCTGGCTTTCGAAGCTCGACGGCAGTCTGCCCAGTCGGATCTTGCCTTACATGTACCTCGGCAACCTTGGACACGCTAACAACCCGGAGCTCCTCCGCGCTATGGGCATTAACCGCATCCTGAGTGTTGGAGAACCGCTTTCTTGGCCCGAAGACGTCAAGAAGAAGCTCGACTGGCCTGCCGAGAACTTCCTGATGGTCGACCGAGTTCAGGACAATGGCGTAGATCCTCTCTGGGGCGAGTTTGAGCGTTGCCTGAAATTCATTGGTGAGTGGCTTCGCTCCATGCTGAGACTCGCATAACTGACGTTTTGTAGAAGCAGGCAAGAAAGAGGGAGGCGCTACTTTAGTGCATTGCCGTGTCGGCGTGTCGCGTTCTGCAACAATTTGTATTGCTGAAGTAATGAACGAGATGGGCCTATCCTTCCCTCGTGCCTAGTAAGTAATGAGCTGTCTTCCATTTGACCCAGACTAACTTAGTTCCAGCTGCTTTGTTCGGGCACGACGACTTAATGTTATAATTCAACCACACCTTCGATTCACTTACGAACTTCTTAAGTGGGAAGAGTACCAGCGTCAACGACGCAATGAGCCTCTTCGCCGCGACCTGGAGTGGGCAACAGTTGCGCGCGAAATCGCGCTGATGAACAAGCCCTACTCCAGATAACGACTTCTACGAACTCTCCGACCTCTCTGCTCGATATGACTCACGACGATACGATACGACTCGTACATGTACGATTACAGGCCACCAAGCCTTTGAGCTGCCTATTCTGTTCAGGATGATCCATCATCCCTTGTGTGCGATATGGGCGTTTGCAATTCCTTCGTCTTGCTCTGCCATGATCTTTCCTTCTACTTCCGATGTTTGCGTTGATTTTGTCCTGCGACCCTGCTGTTTTGCACTACGGATCTGAGCCTGGTTTCGCGTTGTCTGGTTCACTTTTGCGAAACCGTGGTCGCAGGATTTTGCTGTACTGGATGTCTGTCATTCTGGGTCTGCGGTCTGGATGTCAATGTGTTACGGGATCAAAGGGCTATGGGCATCTTTCATCACTGACTTTCTCCATCCATGTATTACTGTCTCGATCCACTGCAGCGCACCTAGCGCTGCTGCATCGTTGTCGATTTGTGGGCTGATGTTCGGACGAATCATGGAGTACTGGGTCTCAAATCACTTTATGGCGTATACACTTTTAGTCGTAACAACAAGGTCTCTTCTTTCTCTATGTGTCTCAACATGCGTCGCAGTGCTGTTCCCGTCTTCCTCTTTGACCAAAGCTTTTCCCTCATCCCACCGCTGCATGGCACACGTTTCACAGGCAAGGACGACGAAGCTCATGTTCGCTCTCCAAGGGTCTTCACGATAGGCACGATTGTGCAATTCATCAGATGTACATCACGAGGGTAGGACATCATGTGTGAAGCGGTTACTGATGTCGATCAAAGTCATATTGTCTACTCCTTGCCCCCAAGATACCTGTAGACTACTGAAAAGTCTTTGCCCTTGCAGTTTTCGGCTTTCTCGCAAGCATCGTAGAGCGCTCTTGCTGGTTCTCCCAGCGCAAGCTTGACACCAGCTTCATCAGCAGCCTTCAACGCAAGCTTGAGATCTTTGCTGGCCAGGCCTATACCGAACCCTCCCTCGTAGCCTCTGCTTGCAGGAGCGCCCTCAATGACGCCGGGAACGGGGTTATTGACCTCACTGGGCCAGCACTTGCCAGTCGCTGTGTTGATCATACCAGCTAGCGCCTTGGGATCAAGGCCCCACTTCACACCCATGCTCATTGCTTCTGCAGTCGCAATGTTGTTGAGTGCGAGCAGATAGTTGTTTGCAAGCTTGCCCTTGAGACCAGCACCTGGTCCGCCAAGGTGAACCACTCTCCGACCCATCAATGACAGGACTTTGGTGGCACCTTCGACTGCCTCAGGCGGCGCACCGATCATGAAGGTGAGCGTACCAGCCTGTGCACCAACGACACCACCAGACATCGGCGCATCAATGAACTTTCCTTGACCAGTGGAGTGAGCAGCTCCCGCTACCTCACCAGACGTCATAGGATCAATGGTTGAGCAATCGATGAAGAAACGTTCTTTGTTGATGGAGCTGTCTGAAAGGAGAGTAGCTGGTTCCAGCATCTCCTTGAAGACTGCCTTGACATGCTTAGGTTCTGGCAAGGATGTGACGATAGTTTCCTGCAACACTGTCAGTGGACTGCACTCGAAGTACTTGACGAGAAGATGTGTTGTGTATAAAGCATCAGAGGATTGGCTATAATTTTTGTGTAATCAGGAGAAGGGCCACGAATGGCCCCCAACTTAGATCATTGATAGAACAATTAATTCATCACGAGAGTGCTAGGAGAAGTGGAAGAGGTACACGTACGGCTTTTTCAGCGACTTCTCGTACGTTCTCAGCCACTCGTACGCCTTGTGGATGCTCCTCGAGGAATTGCTTTGTAGCTGCGGTATTGACATCGTGCACGAAGAGTGTGTCTTCAGCCGGTATCTTCGCTCTGAGGTTCTTCGCCATGGGATACCCTGTATTTGATGTTAGGACATGGTGATTATGTGAGCTGCCAGAGTACTAACCCATGCGCCCCAATCCTATGAACCCCCATGTAGCCTGCAGGTTGTGGGAGCTCGAGAAGCATCTCCGCGCGCTCTGGCGGGCCGCTGAAGGTGTTGATCTCCGCAGAGGCGAAGCTAGCGCCGAGACTGTCCGCATCTTGTGATATGGTATGAGGAAGGGTATCTGGGTAGTTGAGTTTGGCAACGTGTTGCGGAGAGCGGTTGGAATCGGTCTCCGCACTCATGGATCGCGTTCAGCCGAGGTCGCGGTCCAATGCAGCAGCACCCGTACGTGGGGCTAGCAGCATGCGTGGATGCATCGTGAATAGTGCGACCCTGGCCCCAAGGCTGTTGGAGCTGGTCTTCCGTGAGGTGCCCGTGAAGCTTGGGACTAAAGATGAGTGGGTGGGTGGGTGTGAGCTCAGAGAAAATTACAGGCTGGCGGAAAAGTAATTCCGGCCGAAGCGCGCTACGTCTAATTCGTCGGGGCCCGGGCGTTCGCCTTGAGCGCTGCTCACCACAGCACGACAGCAGACCCTATATTTGTTTGAAGACTCGAACATCCCGATGCCCTGCCTGATGGCTATGCATTGTGGTCATTTTAAAGTGTACACATGAAGATCAGATCCTCTTCCTACTGAGACCTATAGAAGGCCTTCAAGCTTCCATTCATGCCCTCTCGATTTCGGGATTGGGTCCTCCCAATAACTCCGTATCCGGCACGTATTCTGGATCTGCAATACGAAGAGCGCTCTTCTCATCTATCAAACCGTCTGACCATCGAAATGCTATCTGTTCGTAATCGCTGATACGGCAAGTCGCAAGTCCACCAGTTTCTTTTCTTGTGCTGTCGCTGTCGCTGTCGCGGTGGTTCTGTTTCCTACGCCTATCCATGATCGCCTTCCAATCTTCCCATTGACTGTATATTGGTGGGATGCCTGGATCAGCGGTATCGACGTGCTCACACTTCGCAGACGACCGCTCTTCTATTACCAGTTCTGCTTCGTAATCTAATAGCTTACGAAGCTGCTCTGTAGCCTTTGGAGGAGCCACCACACGTACCACTTCCACCCTTCGCTCAAGCTCGTAATGGTACACGCTCCGGTACACGCTGTCGATCTGGCCTACGCCTCTGATCTCCATGCGTTTTATCTGCGGCCATGGAGCGCCTAACAAAACAGGCAGCACCTGTTGCGCAAAAAGCCAGTCCATCTGACGGATCCCTTGTGTCTGCCTTCTCTCATGGCCCCTACGAGGGCCGGACGACTCCTTAATACCTTCACACTGTTCGAAGAAGAGATTGCATAGCGTATTGCGTGCCGACGCCAGGAACCGTGCCCATGAGCGATACAGTGATGTATCCTGAGGAGTGTAATAGTAACCTGTATCAGGCCCTGCTATGGTAACATGAAGAGATTTTAGAACAGACTGGCGGGCTGCGAGCGTGTCAAGGGTGTCTGCTAGCACTCGCTCGTTTGGTCGCATCTGCAGTCTGGCACGATTTACGTCGAGATACTTGCGTAGCTCTTGTAGTTGGTTCGAAGCTGACGGTACCAGCTCAGACTCCGCTGTGTCTGTGGCAAGGCTTGCGAGACCCGATCCAGATGGCTTTGGGTTGGAGTTGGAAGCTGTTTCGAGCTCGGCCCATAGCTTTAGGTCGTTCAGATTTATGCTTTCGAGACGCGGCCCTCCGAGAACACAGGTGACAAATTCGCGCGTCATACGTCCGCCTAGTCGAATTGATCGAGCATCTTGGAAGAGTTTCTTCGGCAGAGTAGCTTCCCGCCACGGTCTTTGGTTTCCGTGATCAGCCCAGTAATGTATATGTACTCGCAAGTCTTACCTGAGCCAACAGAGATCGACGTCCACTACATGCACGAAGCTATGGAACGTTCGCCAAAGAGTGTCTGGTAGTGTTAAGATCTGTTCTGATTCGCCATAACCATAGCCTACCATCTTCTGGTGGAAACTCCTCACGCTCTTTGCTGAGAGTCCTTTCGTATTTCTCATAGTGGGTCCTTCTGTTGTCATTGTCATAAAACATTCTCCACAGCAGATGTAGCTTCTCGTCTGCGGTGAGTGGAGACCCTGGTTCGTATACTCTCACCATGGCTTGAGTATCTCGAACCCGCCCCTGTTTAGACCAGCTTGTCTCAGCGTAAATGGCGCGCCAGTAACGAGGTCGCGCGTCGAACAGCTCTCGATGATGGGTAATGTTCTGATAGCTGTCGAGAACTGTCCAGTGTAGTTCGCGCACATACTTTGCGTAGGTAGGTTTCTCGGCAATGGTCCTTATCAACAGCTCCTGCTTTCTAGCAGTGCTTTGGTCGATACTATGCCATTCCCGAGCGGAGAACCTGGGAGGTACGACGGCCCTTCGGCCTGTGGCAGCTCGCACGACTCGACCTTCGCGGTAAATATCGAAGGAGCATTCGATAGTGGCATTATGGGTGCTTAAATCAAGGCTGCGAAAAAGCTCAGGTAGCTGGGAACCCGGTTAGAAGAGCATGTGGAGTTGTTAGCGGAAGTAAGCTGTACCAGTTTGTTGTGGAGAAGGCGGCAGGTCTCGCTGAGGTGCTTGATGTCTGTGTGTGAACACCAATGCACGATGTCTATGAGCAGTTCAGCTGGCAGTTCCGCGAGATTCGCCATGACAGGGAAACCAAATTGTTCAAAGTGCAGTGAACTTAAGTCTTCGAGTGAATGACAGACAGTCTGAGGCAGCACAGAATGCGGGGTGCGGCGTAAGCTTCGGTCTTCTGAAACCTGCAGCTGTGCGGCGAAGCTGAACAGTAACGTCACGTGCAAACTCACTATTGACAACCTTGGAACCCAAGATCTGATTCTATCCCTCTCTTCATCATCTAGCGATCTCGACTTCTCTTTCTTACATCTCGTTTTCTCAATTTAGCTAAGAGCGCGCCTCCTACAATCCCGGATCAATTAGGCTCCGGCCAGAATATTCGCAGTTCCTGTCGTACATAAGGAGGAAGACTGATGGAAGTAAGACCAAACGGCAACGTGAACCCCTTCTGCGCCTGTGTAAGTCCTCGAGGGTGGAGAATATGCAGTAACAGCCATCGGAACAGACCATTTCACGTCCACATCGAGCAACCCGGGAAAGACAAACTGAGCTTTCGCTCGAGCGCGGAGGATGAAGTCGCAGCTATGGGAACAAAATGCAATGAGTAAAAGGTAGCAGACAGGGAAGTCTCCGCGAATCTGTGCACAGTCGCTGTCGTCATGGAGACAATACTAATCATGCCTCATAGAGAGGAATCTCCGGGTGTCGGCAAGTGGAGGCTATAACCATCTCACGGTATAGACACCCATTTGATTCACCATCGCATTGCTCACAAAAAAGCAGTAGTCATGCGCTGAGCCAAGCCGGACATGTAGTGTTTGGTGTACGGAGGACCGCGGACTCACAGGAGACCGCGGGTCGCGGTGGACCCAAACGTTCGCTTCCCGCTTCCAGCGTCCAGGCCGTCTACCGAGGCAGGAACCAAGCACCGTCCTCCTGCGACATGCTTGCCAGACCCCTGGGTACCCACAGCTTCGATCGCATCGTGAATGCACTTTTGTTTTTTACATGATATATTGATGCGTTAGGAAGACTATCGGTGTTGCGAAGCTTTGCGAGCGTCTTCTGTAAAGGGCGTCGCCGACAATCTTTCCCATACCTCGACCATCCCGTAAACCCACAACTCCATCGCGACCATCAGCGCGCGCATCACCACTTCAGGATATGAGTTCACCCATCGCCCAAACATACCCTGCCGTTTACCCGCCTCTGCCTTCCCAAGCCTAAGCGCCACGCCTGGTAAGGCACTTGAGGTTTCCAAACGACCATGATGCAACTCGGCACTCCTCTCCCCACTTATCTTCAAACGGCATACAACCGCCTCACCCATGCGCTTTTCCCATGCCTTGTCTTGGCAAACAAGGCTGTCAAACATCGTTTAGGCTACGTGCAACAATGCGACAGCTTGGCCGCCCTGGTCTTACAGCTCGGGTATCCACATGGCTGTGCGCCATAGGTTGGCCTGTGGCTGCCCTAAGATTCCTCAGGCCATTCTCAATGTTTGAGGTGTTATGGGCAGGAGGTGAGCTACGTAGGCAAGATTCATGGTGTGGATAGAGGAGGCAAAGGGTTGATTCGGGCGTGTGGAGGATGTGATAGTGGAGGATACAAGCGTATATGAGCTAAAGTACTTGTAGGTGGGTTTTTGCTCAGTTGGTGTCTTTCTATCCTTCATTCTCTTCGCATCGCTCTTTTGACTACGCAAACCGTAGAACGGTCTTTACATAATCTCTACTTTCGATTCTCCAGTATACCGTTGAACGGTAGTCTAGTTCCTATTTCTATACTCTCGATACCTTTTTGTAACTCAAGCTGTTTGCCATTACACAATGAAGTCAACAATCTTCTCTGTTGCTTTGGTCGCTACGGCGAGTGCGCTTCCTGGTCCGGCCTTCAGGACTGTCAACAGACTGCCTAGCATCAAATGTATGTCATACACACATGTCTCCATCTATTCTCTGCTAAACAAAAACAAGCCAACCCACTCCGCCGCGCCAGTCAAATCATCCCCGTGATCGTCGGCGGTCCCCAGGATACTTTCATCCCCAACACCATCACCGCAGCAGTCGGCGACATTGTCCAATTCCAGTTCTCCAATGGCAACCACACCGTCACGCAATCAACCGCCGACACAGCATGCACTCCCATGGAAGGCGGCATCCACAGCGGTCACATCCCCTTCGAGGACGGCCAGACAGATGTCGGAACTTTCAACATGCCCATCACGAGCGCGGACCCCATGTTCCTGTACTGTGCTACTGGACCGCATTGCCAGGAGGGTCAGGTTATGATGGTCAACCCTGCCAGTACGCAACAGTTGGCCGACTATGTCAAGTTGAGCCAACAGAGCGAATCGAGCACTGATGGAACCGACGTCGTCGGCGGAACTGCGGGCAAACTTGCTCTGGATGCTGCTGCGTAAGTCTTGAACCCTCTCAGCCGTTTGGTCATGCTTTCGATCATGTAAATACTAACCCTCTTACGGCTTCGTACCTGCACCTCCAGAGGATCCCGCTGCTGCCCCTCCCGCCCCTCCTGCTGAGGCCCCGGCCGAGGAAGCCCCTGCAGAGGAGGCACCCGCTGAAGCACCACCTGCTGAGGCACCACCCGCTGAAGAAGCGCCCGCAACGACATCTGCCGCCGAAGCCCCAGCAGAGACGACAGCCGCTGCCGAAGCACCCGTCGAGGCATCTCCTGCTGAGATGCCTATGACTACCGCAGAAGCAGCTCCTGCCGAGATCCCGGCTGCTGCTGCTGCTATGGCTCATGCTTGAAGTGAACGAAGGGCTAGGGGAGGAGGAAGTTTTTAATGTAGATTTTGCGAGAAATATATGAAGTATTCGAATGTGTATATCTAAGTTACGTAGCAGGGCTGTTTGATTATGATGCTGTTTATCTTCTTTGTTGGTGCAATGAGTTGATGTGTATGAAGTCTTGTGCCGTATTGTTAAAGGTTTAATCTACCTGATTGCCACGCATCTATGTGGATTATCTTGACGAGTAAGCGATGCGAGTGCTTGGCACTAATGAGACTACGAAGTAGTAAAGGGGAAAATCATGTTCTGTATGGTGTTATGTAATTCTCTTTATTACCCCTCACACCATCTATGCTGCAATGCGATAACAATGCTAAAAACACATACCAATAACCCCTCTCATCTGGTGCCAAAGTGATACAGAAGATGCTAGCCCTCCTTCTCAGCCACCTTATCCTTCTCCTCCTCGCCGTCCTCACTACCATCCGCAGTCTCACCACTACTGCTACCTCCCTTCTTCCTCTCAGCAACATCCATCTCCCTGCCATCAATCACCGGCTCAGCCTTCGCCGCCCGCTCATCCTTACTCGGTCGCGGTCTCGCAGGCTTTCCAGCTTCTTCCGGGAACAGCTCAGCGAAGAGGTTCGGTTGGAAGCGGTTGATGCGCTTCCACGTCTCGTGCCAAAGTTCCTCTCGCTTGGGGTTTTCGTCGGGCGGTGCAAGGTATCCACCATTGCTGAGCACCAAAAGCATGTTTTTGAGATTCTCGGCAACGGCTTCGTCCATGTCGCCTTGTCCGCTATTGCCCAAGCGATCCATGAGGCCAACTATTGTAATCCACAAGTCTTCGAAAGACAGGCTCTTTTCCCCTTCTTCATTCTCTTCGCCTGAGAGGCCGTCAAGTAGCACTAGGTAGTGCAGGAAGACCTTGCTCAAAAGTGTGGCGGCCCTGATCCTAGTCTCGCTCATGCCCAATGGATCAGATTGGTAGACTTCTGGTTTGAGTAACTGGGTGATGAGGGGTATGAGGACTTCGCTGAAGATCGCGGTCCATTCTCGGTGCTCGGGTGAGGCGAGGTCATTGGAAAGAAGGGTACGTTGTAGTGAAGAGAAGGCTTGCTGGCGCAGGGAGCGGCAAGGGTTGAGGCATTGATGTGCGAGGGTTTTGAGGATAGGAGACCAGTACGCCGTCCATGCTGAAAAGATGTTAGCGCCTCGATGCTTGGTGATGAGAGAAGTGTTTCTACCTTCGGTAGTCTCAAGGTGAGACTGCTCGATAAAGTTCGGCACCCTGCTGGAAAGTTGGAAGACAATGCTCATAGCAGTGCTGCCGCGTACAACAACTTCGTTGCTCTCAAGCTTCTTAGGCTTCTGGCCCTTGTTGCGTCGTGCAGCCTGATCATGCAACTGCTCCTCTCGAGCTCCAACTTGAGCTGCAGTTGCGAACTCATTGAGAAGCGCAATCGCAGCCTCGTAGTTATCAGCAGTGATGCCAGGTTGAGGCGAAGTGGTAAGGTCTTCGACGAGTTGGAACACATCACCAGCAGCATCAGGCACTCCTGAAAGCCTGCTGAGAATGGTCCAGAAATCAGGCGATCCGGCAAGTTCGCTACGCAGAGCATTCGGGCCTTTACAGCAGTCTGTCAGACCCTTCAGGATCGGTTGTGCGCACTCGTGCAACAGAGCATCATTGAAACTGGAGAATGTATGCATAAGGACTGGCGCACGGATGAAGTCATAGTCCTGTATTAATTAGCATTGAATCTCTTGGAAGTGCGTCGAGACTTACATTGCTGGCTTTGAGTAGGCTCAAAAGGTAGTATACCGATCGAGCAATGACAACGTAGTGATGCTTGGGAGCGTCTCGGATGACAGACGCCAAAGCATCCGTTACATCCTTTGCAAGCTCCTTGACCGTCTCTTCATCCCTCAGCGCTAGTACAGTCGCCAGCTCAAGGACGAAAACAAGACTTGGGTCGTACAGCGGACCTTTGCCCTTCTGTCTAGGGCCGGTCGTTCGCGGACTTGCGCCAGGTATCTCAGGCTTCACAACAATGACTCTGGGTGAACCATCTTCGGGTAGATGCTCAAGTAGAGATGACAGAAGTGACCGCAGAGACTCCACTGGCAGCTGGCTGATGTTCGCAAGGATATCTTCGAAGTGACATTCCTTGACAGTATCCACAGTACAAAGTGTGTACTCAATCTCTTGGTCTGATGGCTCCGGGGGCTCGTCATTGGCAAAGCTCGACACATATGATGTCAGGGCCGAGAAGATCCCAGTGTCTGCTGGACGCTCTGCACGGTCGATGACCTGTGCTGGGTTCTGAAGTGGTATGGGTGCTAGAGCGAGCGTCTTCTGGAAAGAAAGGAAGTAGGGCGGTATCAGCGAGTTGACGAACAAGTTCACCATGATGCGAATAAGCTACTATTGTTAGCACTGTACAAAACAACAAATTCAAAGACCTTACGTGTTGCCACCCATCTCTTATTGATGCTTCGTTACCCTTGATGACTTGGAACAAGACTACGGTCGCTAGCTGCGCTCTACCGTCACGACCGAATCGCACAGCAGTCTCGCTGACCATAACGCTCTTCTTGTCGGCTTGCACCTCGGTGTTGAGCGATGTGCTTGGTGGCACATCGGGCGCCAATGTGCTGATGTACGACAAGCACGAGATGATACGGTCGAGAGCCTCAGTAAGGCCGTACTTGGCAGCGATTTGAGCGCATTGGTCAAAGCCCTGCACAACGCGGGAAAAGACCGCATCGTCAGTAGCAGACATGAACACGTAGGATAGGGTTGCTATGATTGGCTTCCATGTGGCAGCGAACATGTCCGCATCGAAGATGTTGGTGTCGCAGATGACGATGTCGGACGTCGACTGACACTTGACTAGCAGCTCTTTCCACGCGTGGTCGTATGCGTTTCGATCGCTGTGCTCCTCGGGTAAAATAATCTCGCGATTCTTGATGGAATCATAGATTCCTTGCAAGAACTCAGGTTCAAAGTCCTTGCCATTGTTAACACCTCGAACGTTCTTGGTGAAATCTTCCAACTGCATTCGTTTCGTCTTCAAGTTGGGGTTGTGTTGATCGGTGTTCAGCATAATGACAGCGTATGTAAGAATATAGATGGCATCGCCGTTGGCAATTCCCTCAGGCTTGACCATGTTGAAGTACGTCTCAGAGAATTCTGTCAGAATTCGCTCGATCAGGGCCGATTCACCAGGGAGACGGAAGGCGTGCAGAAGCTGTCGAAGCGCTTCATCTATCCGCTGTCCTTTGAAGTCGAATAAGTTGATGAACTCGCTCAAGATCGCCTCGTTTCCCTTCTTCGAGATGAACTCGCCCAATACTTTCTTATCGACCCTCGTAGTACCTTTGACAAACTCGGCGATGCATTTAGGATCATCTGGGTCTCGGATGATTCCCTGTTGTGCCAGGTAGGCGATACCAGCCTTGGGCTTTTCGTTGAATTTAGTGGCACCGCGGATGATGATCGCTTTGCGCGCCCGCTGCTCGCGGAGTGACTCAACGCTTGGATAGCCTTCGGTTACAGGCTCGTCGTCAAGGCGATCTGCCATAGATTGCACAAAGCCAAGCAGTGCGTCCAAACACAGTGGAGGTACATTGACAGTACTCCATGTTGCAGAGTCTGGGAACGCGTTTCTGGAGAGAAGTCCAACAATGTCCATGCAGACATCTCCACGGTCAATCTCACAGTCGTAGTTGACGAAAAGCTCTGCCATGTAGGAAGGTATCCGAACCAAGCCACCCAAGTTCTCCACCATGGCTTCTCGAGCATCCGGCTTCCGGGCGCCTCCCTCCAGTCCCAGCTTTTGCCGATCCTTGACAGGCACTGGAGTTGAGCGACCGCTTGAGTTGCTCTTTTGTTGCGGCGGCTGCTTGATTAGACTAGGTGCACTTGGAACACCCTCGTATAGAGAAGGTTCGATGCCCGGCTCAATGGGTATTTCAACCCGTGGAAAGAGACATGCGACCAAATACGAGAGGTAGAGCTCTTGTTGCAGCTTGAGCACATTTCGGCATGTCGCCAGCAACGTACCAGCAACTCGCAATGACTCGTTCAATATGGCCATGTTGTCTGATCTGACGAGCTGGAAGATGTGCCTGCACAATGTGTCCTTGGCTAGATTGGCCAGACTGGGATGGCTCGCTATCGACGGCCCGGCGACTTCGAGGGCAACGTCGACGATGCGCAAGGCCATGACGCGCATGGTGTCGGTGTGTTGGCGGTCGTGAGGGTCTAGCAGATCGACCAATACTCTGAACAGCTCTCTTATGGATGGTAACGAGTAAGGCTTGATCTCGAGAGGGGCCTGTGGCTGTCCGTCCGCGGCGGTCGCTGGTAGATCTAGAGTACTGCTCGCAGGATTCGCGGTACTGTCGTTGTCTTCCTGTCCCTTCTCAGGATCAATTGGCTGCTGGAGCGCCTCGACCTTGTGCTGCGCAGAGTCTCCCTCGCCATTTGCGGTTGGGTCCATTCTCAGACCATCTTGATCGTCCTTTCCTTCCAACTCTTCGTCCATGGCGTCCAGCTCCTCTGGCGATTCAATCTCGAGCGTCTTCAGCCTGCGGAATATGACCTGACACATGGAAACCATGGCAATCTCTGCCGAGCGTCGGAGCAGCTCTGACAGTCTCGCCTGGCAGCACATGCTCAAGCCCGTCTCCATCATCTCGCATACGCTCTCGTCGCCCAGGACCTCTCCTCCGCGACCTGAGATCATGACTTCCATCAGCCTGAGGATACGAAGGAGAACGATCTCGTCGGCAGCCGAGTCGCTGGCTTCGAATCGGCAGTGTGTAATGGCGGAGGAGAGCTGCTGCATAGCTTCTGGTAGACGTGGAGAGTCATGACCGATGATGCCGTACGACAGGAATTTGGTTATAGCGATGAGGGCGAGCGAGGTGATGGGTGCGGAGGTGGAGGAGGAGCGGATGACTTGTAGGAAGGGGTGGAGCATGGAGGGGGTATCGAAGGACCGGATGTC